AGGAAAAGAGATCGGTGGTGGTGGTGATGGTGGTGGACGGGTGATAATGATTTTATAGTCAGCTGAACTGCGTCTGGGGGAGGGAGGGGGGTGTGAGACAATTGACTCGATAATACGGGTCTTCCTGCCTGGCACCCGTTGATACCGACGGCGAATCAAGTGCGAACACCCGACCAAGAGAGAAAGAGCGAGAATCAGCGAGAAAAAGAGAGAGAGCAAGAGAGTGAGAGCGAGAGAGAGAGAGAGAAAGAGAGGGAAGGAGAGGAGGGGGAGAGAGAAAGAACGAAGGACAAGGATAAATGTTCCGTTCGCTAATGACCCCCGGTGCCTCTTTAGGGACGGCTCCTCGACTTAGGCTACCGGTCGAAGACCTCTCCACCTCCTCGTCAGATGCCGAGAAATCAAGTACCTGACAGCGAACTCCACCTTCTACCGGCTCCCGGTGCATCCTCGTCGCGTCCGGAGGCGCGATGCTGCAGCGAGTGATTCGTCACCTGCGCCGGGAGTCCGAGGAGCCCCCTTGATGGAGGGCTCGCTAAAGCACGCTTGATCCAGATATCCGTTTGAGATTCATAACGCGCACTTGGCTTCAAAACGCGACGACCACGAAAGTAGTACGAGTAATGAAATGAATTGCGGCCGATAAGCGAAACCTGCGCTCGAGAGAAATACCTATATATATACGTGACAGATTTATATGTGAAAACTTCGGAAAGTTTCGACGTGAGATGCTTGTGTGATTTCGAAAACAATTAAAACGATGCGAAACGCAATCGCGATATAAATCAAGGCGAAGATATAGACATAAGGGAAAGTAAATTATGGCTGCAATCAGGCCTGATTTACATGATGCTTTCTTACTAGCAACTAGCGCGTGATTGTTATCTAACGAACTAAAAAACTAACAGCTAAAAGAATACACTAAGAGATAAAGAGTTAAATAAAAAATATTTTCTTGATTCAACTACACGTGGCGGTCACAGGCTGTCAAACAATTATTTAACAAAATAATTGTTAATTTACAAAAATATCATATTAATGTTGATGTATGTTTAACTCAAAAACATATAATTAAATTAAAAAGTATTAATAGAACGCATTTAATTAACAACTTTTTTCTCAGTGTATAATTCAATAAATTCCTTTTTTTTAGCTGTTCATTTTCTAAAAGAAATAATTTAGAAAACACAGCAGACTAGTTGTTATTATAACAAATGTGCATTGTGTAAATCAGACTTTATTTCGGAAAATTCTGGATGTCGAGCTAAAATCAATTCACTGATATAAGAACTCAATAATAATTCTTTTCAAGCGTCAAGTGCCAGCAGATGCAAACAATTTCACGATCGAGCGCATATTCGTTTTCATCTTTTTTTGTTTTTTTTGTTTATATCCAATCTATTTCCCAAAGTGCAATGTCATAATGAGATTTTTTTAAACCAACCATTATACAAATTAAGTATTTACTATGCCGCGCGCGTACAACGCCTAACGTACCCGACATTCGTATCGCCGTTCGTAAAAGGTATTTGCTTCACGCTACTATATTAAATGACAGACACAAATGTCGAAGGAACACCTGCCTCTGGTCACACACGCACACACAGATCTTATATCTCGCGCATACTGTCTCTGAGATTAAGCGTTATCCAGCCACACGGACGTCATCATAATCATTTAACGTGTCCGATTCGACGGCGATGTGCGAGCGATTACAATTTTAGACAAATTGTCTGATATAAAAAAAAAATCACTTATCAACGTGGAATATATAAAGGGAAAATTAATTACAAGTCAATGGCACAAGAGCGTGTTATCTGTTTCTCTTGAGAAAGAAAAGATTTTTGAAAAATAATTATATGGTTTTGAAGTAAGTTATATATTATATACGCTTCGATGCATTTATAATTAATACGTCATCTAGTTCCCTCCGTTATCGATTAAGGCTTGGAAATATCGAGGCATTTTTACAAGGTTTTTTATAAAAATCTCGGAAACTCCAGATCATGACTTCCAAATCGAACGTAATTGATACAATAATTTCTTCAGAGTGAAAACACGCCTTTTCTGCATCTAGATTTTTATATAACAATTCATACATTTTCAACCGCGTTAACATGAAGAGATTATGAAAATTCAGTGTTTTGTAAAAATTCCATTTTATGTACCCTGTATCTATTGTGTTTTATCCAGTTATAACACAATAACTAAACCGAACTGAAATCTAACTTTCAAAGCGTTTTAGCCTAATGTATTGCAAATATTAACACATAAAAACTTTACTCATACGACATCTATTAACAGAATTATGAATAACACGCTCTTGTGCCACTGACTGTAAGTCTGGCACGTATGAATCTGATGGCACAATTGGAACATTAATCGCTAATCTAGATAATCTCATCTATTATATACAAATTATTTTTTATTAAAAAAAAACAAATTTCTTAGCGGGTTTCGTTTTGTAAGGAAAAAAAATCAGAATATCGGACTATCGGGCTCTGTAATCCTATCGAGAGGAAGATTCAGAATGAGAAGAAAGGATAGGCCGAGGAGGAGCAGGCAGACATCCGCTTTTGCGTGCGGAGGGCCCCGGGCGAGTGCAAAAATAGCCCCGGGACACGTCAATAATTAATTAGCGGAATTTATCGATACGCCGACGCCGTTATCTTGTCCGATACGCGTACGAAGCGATTTTGTGGCCGAGCCGCGAGATAAGCCGTCGTCAATTCACTCGGGTCTGCCTCGTTCGCGTGGAAATTACGACTTCCTCGTGATTCCCGACATCCAACATTTTCTGAGGGGGGGGAGGGGGGAACCCGCTTACAACGAACATCGTCCAGGTATTAAAGCCGGCCGAATGGGCAGGTGACTTGGGGACGGCTGTTGTTCGATTTTTGGGCATACGTATCACTTTGTTTACGTTCTCCTAGCGAATTTATATCTCGCACAATAAAGTCAGTATAATGTACATAAAATTTAACTTTTCAAAATAATAAGTTTCTTCAGATAAACGCTATACTTAATATTCTTTACCTAATTTAATATTTTTTCGTATTTCTTTTAATTGTTAATTTAAATTTCTTAAAATTTCTTTTAATTATTATTTATTTTAATTATTTCTTTTAATTAATATTTATTATTTTTCTTTTGGCTGTTAATTTTAATTCATTTATTAAATTTTACTTTCATTTTGATCTTTAAATTACACCTTAATTATTATAATTACAACTTAAATACCCATATTTATCTCGTTGCAATGTTTTTGTGTTAATTAACAACACGAAACGTATATGCATTAATTCGTGAAATTCTTATATATTGTTGCTGACCAAGTATATAACGATATTATTCAAATATCTATACATTATTAAAGCATTGCGAAAAGAGACCTCACACGAATAACCATTAATTCTTATTTGTCCGTTTCTACGGCATATTTCCAATCACGTAACTACAAGATATCGCAGAGCGTAGCGGCTACAGTGGATTAAACAAATGTTCGAGTAAGTTACGACATCGCTCATGCCAGTTTCCCAGAAGTGTCTCCTCGCCGTGGGTTAATTACAGGAGTGCCAGGCTATCGCGAATTCTCCGAATATGGCCGGGGCGAAGTGTCAGGGCGCCGTGTAGCTTATACCTCCTCGCCCGTCGTTTTAATCGGGATTGACCCGTTTTTAACGAAGCCCCTCGCGCTCGCCGCGCGCGCGCGCGCGCGCGCAGAGCCATTGATCCCGCGTGTGTGGTGTGGCCGGGACACGATTTCGACCGTGTCCTCGGGGTCCCACGTCGCGGGGCCCCCAGCCTCCCCCCCCCTCTCCTCCCGACACCGGGCCTTGACGTCTTAAGCGTGGGGTGAGGCGGCCATCGGGCGAGATAACGAAATTAGCCCGGCCGCTAATTTATTTCCTAATTCCCGCGCGAGCGGAGGTGTGAAACAGTCGTTCCGGGCCATGGTATCCACGATAACGGGTCTGGATGAGGAATAAAAAGAATGGAGAGGAGGATTCCTTCTCGTACATGGTCGGTCGACGGAGCGGGCGCGAGAGAAGGTGAGAGGAAGAGATAGAGAGCCGAGGATCGTGTACGAGAGAGAAAGAGAGAGAGAGAGAGAGAGAAGAAAGCACGGGAGGAGGGAAAAGAGGAAAGGAAGAGAGAGAACGAGCGAGGAGGAGATAATGCGAAGGCAGGAATGCACGCCCACGTTCAACGACGTGTTTTCCTATGTACGTGTGCGGTGGTCACCAATGTGAGAACCGCGCTAGCGTGCACACGTGGAATGCACCGTTGTGCATACTTCGCGTAACGGGCAGTTATGGACTCCACGCTGATCCTCCCTGCGGCAAGACCGACTCCCCTCCGGCGACGGCGGCGGCGGCGGCGGCGGCGGCGGCGGCGAGAGAGATCGTTCTCTCTCCGCGAAGTCCGTGATTTCGCCCGCGCGATGCACTCCTGACGGATCCGCGAGCGGGCGGGCGGGCGGGCGGACGCGAGCGCGCGAGTCGCGCGGTCCGCGTTTAAGATTCCACGTTAATCTGGATCGGGCCGATTAAACGCGATGGCGAGCACGGAGACTCTGTATAGCGCAAAGTGGCGGTACGTCGGGAATTTGCATATTCCGCCGTATGGGAAAAACCGATCGCGTTTATATTATACCTCCGAGCGACGTGAAATATCGCGTGTTTCGATACACCGTACTGGACACCCAGACGCATTCCGAAAGCGCGGTCGCGGCCTTTTTTCCTTCTCCTTTTCTCTCCTTTTTGCATTGCGTCACCTTCTCTTGTTAGCGCGAGTAAGATAATGATAAAAGGATACATTACCGGCGGCATCATTGTATTTACCGCTCATTATTTCGCGAAGCCAAAGCTAGGCACAGCTCTTGTGAACCAAAATTATTAATATAATCTCAACTTCAGAAAGATAAAAAAAATTATATATAAGTACATCTAATTGTCTGCACTACTCTAGACAATAAAAAATCGAAAATATTTCCTATCCTCTATATTTTCATTTGACACATCAAAATCCGCATGCAACAATAATTTTCGTAACGACGTAATAAATATTAAAATATATAATCTCGCGGTGTTAATTTAATAATTTGTTTTCAACATCCGACCGATTTGCGCGACAGTTCGATACACTCTTGCGATCTGCGAAGTGGCCGCCACTCGGACTCGGCATACCATACTTCGAACGGTGACAGTGACGCGCATGACGGATTGCGTTTTTCCACGCGCGCGCTTCCCGAACGAGCCGTTAAAATTCCTGAACGCGCTAACTAACGACATTCTCGATTATTCTGTTCGATGGTCCTCGAATGCGAGTTTATGGCCGCCAGGGGATATACAGACTTATATCTACTTACTAACAGAGCCCAGGTATTGGCTCTGACACGGAAACTCGCTCGTAAATTCCCGCCGAACAAATTTCCAGCATATGTCGCAGCAATCTTGTGGCCAGCGGTTCTCAGGCGTGAGGAATCCGCGGAGGCTTTTCAAATCTGCAGCAATCAGATAAAAGTAATCGAGTTAAAAAACAATTGTTCTAAAAAAGAAAAACAATTTTGCGATTATCGATTACATATATTTTAGGAAATAAATTTTTCATTGTTTTATACATGACATATTTTAATGTATTTCACAAACAATCAATTTAATTATTTAGCCAAATTAAATCTAAATACAGTGCAACATGTATATTTAAATTACATAAACTATTGTGAATTATCGAATATATTTTAGCACAGAAAAATATTTCAATATTTATACGTAAAAGAAGAATTTTATGTCCGTGCACGCAAATTTCTTTAAATAGAGATACGAACGCAACGAGATACACGTGCGGAATTTTATCGTCAATTATTCCTAAATAAAACGGGGACATTAATTCTGACTCATTACGAAGTTTGTTTCAAGCAGGAGCTGTCCTGTGCGTATTGAGCACCATATATATAAATACGCTCTATTAGTATCACGGTCAGAATAATTCCCAAGCGCAAAGGATTAAAGCATAGTGGCATGGTGAAATTAAATAATGAGAGTTGGTCGCAATGACGATCACTGGGGACTTGGGAGCGGCCGGCAATCAGAATCTCGCGGCGGGCGCGCGCGCGTTCGTTCGCTCGCGTACACGCCGGTCACACACATTTAAACAAAAACACACATCGCGACGCCCGGTACCGAGGCACTACTATCTCAATCCGTACGCAAATGAGCCCCTCCGAGAGAGGACGAGACGAAAGTGATGCGCGTGCAGAGATGTGTGTGTATATACGTATGCGCGTTCTTCTTCGCGTGTTTGCACGCATATACACTTACACACACACGCGCGTGTACGCGAGCAAAGGCTCTGTTGACACGCCGTGGAGGAGAAGGTGACGGAGGACGGAAAAGGGAGGACGAATCAAAGCCACTCAAAGAAATAACCAGTGCTCATTAAGAATAATAATCCCTCTCCTCCGATCGTTTCGATTGTTTCAAGGGTGTCGCACGGAGATCGTCCGGCCGCGCCGTTCTCCTCGCCGTTATATACATTACACATATACTTAACAATCTTCCTTATCATATTATATGACCTTCTCTGGGCGAATCGCGCGCGCGCACGGCGGAGGGCCGATGGCGAAGGAGGAAGTTTATCGGCTAAAGAAATCAACGTCGTTTAGCAACTCCCGCGGTTCCCCCGGCTGAGTTATGCCGCACAAGGTTCAGCGCGAGAATGGCAAAAAAAAGAACGTCATTGTTCATCGATCTCTCTCTCTCTCTCAAGCTTGAGAGAGAGAGAGAGAGAGAGAGAAGTCGATCGCGGGATCGAGGATGATTTATCGGGAATATTTTTAGAATTCCTAATGTGCACTGAAGCTGCCACGCAGAGGTACGAATTTATCAGTTCGATAACTTTTAATCGATAAGACGTGGGAACGTTCTTTTTTTCCTCGATATACAAAAATTCTCGTATTTATATCGAGTACATGTCAAATAAATCGATAAGCGGTAATAATAAACGGCAGCGCGAGTCACTTTGCCGCCGCATCAACTCGGACGGTTCAACATTCAGTATACGAATCACTGAAAAAAATAATCTTGCAATTATAGCGAGAATTATTTATGTACGAAAAATTAGCTAAAACGGATAAGTGATTAGTAAGCACTGCGATACCATATGTGTTTTGTATTTAATTAATACAGATAACAGAGATAGAAATTATATCTGAACTATTTGTCAAATTTAGCAAAAAAGTTCCTCTATGACGTTTAATCAGTCCAGACTCCAATCACATTTAGTTAGGAGACCTATATTTTCTTGTATTCTTAGAATATTGCTGCTATAAATTCTACGTGTGACAATCTTTTAGCAAGTACATAAAACAGCGATATAATTTTTAAAGTGTAATATTTAGAATTCTAGCTGAAACATTTCCCTGAGTGTAAGAGAATGCACGTCCAATGAGTCCCGCGCGAGATAAAGTAAGAAATAATTTCACACGCATTCGCGTGGATTAAGTTGAACTTGAGCAATGGATCGCGATTCCTTTTTTTTTTGTTTTCTTTGCTCGTCTCGTTCAAGGGTGTAACGATATTCTCTCATTCCGCAATAATACCCGTATACGCGTTATTTGCGACGTGGAGCGCTCGATGATCATTATTCAGCCGATTATATCAAGCAAGAAGAGCGAGCTGCGGCTGCCTCCCCGATACCGCGGACGAGCGTTGTCCGTGGGCCCGGCCGGCCGCGGTCGCGGCGCGGCGTGGCGGTAATGAATTTGCCACATTCCCGCGAACGCGCCGCGCCGCCGGGCCGTAAAGGGGAGCAGACCGGGACGACCAGAACTATACACCGTGTCCAATGTTGTTGCGCTAATCCCCTATTTATCCGTAACACTTTTCTCCCTTCTTTACTGCGGCACGGCCGTGCCTCCTCCTTTCCGAGAAGGGCCCTTTCGATGGGCGGAACATAAAAACGCGGATTATTTGCTCGCGCCCGATCGAGGTGAACCATAATCCACGCCGAGCGCGAGATACGTTCGAGAGAGCGAAGGAGCGAGAGGTATAACCGAGAGAAAGAGAGAGAGAGAGAGGCGGAGAGATAGAAGGAGAAGTGTTAGTCAAACAGTGGATGCGCCGTGCGTGCGTCAGGGATTCTCATTAGACGACAAAGAGAGAACGAAACCGGGCGCGGAACCGGGGGTCCTGGTACTCTCCGGGGTCCCGTCTAATAACTATCAATTCCACGCCGACGTTGAGAGACGAACCGGAGGAACGGGGGAGAGAGAGAGAGAGAGAGCTCTCCCCCGTCCCCGCCCTACACATCGCCTCTCTCTCTTCTTCCTCCCACCAGCTCTGATAATTACAACCGAGCGTCCAACGAATGAGCAGGGGTATCATTAACACTTCCTGCCTCGTAACGACTCCTCATCTGACACACGATACGCGCGATATAGCCGCGCGCGCGCGTCACTGCGTAAACCTGTCAACCCGCCTAATCGACGTCGACGCGCCGCGTCCTTCCCTCGGTCCTCGCGATCACGCGCGCGCGTATTGCGTCACACATCCGATCAAACGACGGCCGGACTACAGTTCGGTGGCGCGTTTTACGCTTTCCTCTCTATCCGCGCTTGCCAACCACGACCAATCTATCCAAACAGTAAAAATAAAAAACTTGCGAAAGAGGGAGGGAGCTATACATCCCGCGGCGTGTGATCCTGAAATTAGAATTAATCATCCTGCCGAGGCGTATCAGGGGGGAGACAGTGGAGAGCCATCTCGATACATCGGACTCCGGGACTATCGGGACTATCCCTCCGGGCCTCCCCTCCCCCCCCCCCCTCGAGACGGCCGCAGGAATTATCCCGTCAATGCGCATCGGCCCGCGGGCCTGCTAATAACTACCAATTTACCTGTCTCGCTCGGGCGAAAACAGGTTCCGCATAAATTCTCCCCCGTTTATATCGGCGGGGATGCTATTATGACAACTAAGTTGGCACAAATCAATTACGCACGAATGTGCCATCCGTGTGGGCCCCCCCTCCCCCTCCCTGCGCCTATCCTTCTTTCCTCGGCACAGAAGTCACCAGGTACAGCTTTTAGAATCTTATGCTCTCTTTACGCTGATGTCGAACGCTCACACGAGAGTCCCCGGCGTTTATAGTAATCTCGTAAATAGGTTCCGACGGAAACCACCGTATAATTACAGATATCTCTCTGCACAGATTTCATACGCGAGATGCAATTCAGATGCGTCGGTTTAGAGTACTGCAGCATTCGTTCTCCTTTTTCTCCCTGCGAATGCCTTTGCGTCATGAAGGCTGGGAAAAGCCAAGATTAGTGCTACGATATTAAACTTGTATTGATATGCAACCATAAAACGAATCGATTACCTCGAAAGCGGCGTGAGTTCAGTTTCGAAATAAGAGTTCTAGAGAGATAATAAATAATAAAAAAGTGAGACGACATTGGATTCTCACCATTCCCGATTAAACTTAGATCGGTTGATTATTACATTTACGAATTGCTAATTGCAAAATTTAAAACTAACCATCCCTACAATCTAGTTTCTTAATTATTTTAATTAAAAGTATTATATTTTATATAAATAAATTATATAATTTGCAGAAAATGAACAAAATAATACGATCAGTTTTAATAAGTTTTGCAATTGGCAACCCTTAAGTATAATATGACCGATCAAGTTAATCAGAGGTGGTAAAATCGACCCATTGAATTAGTTAGGTTAAATGTTATTTCTCATCGCTGCCATTTTTTCAATATGGCTATTACAGGAAGTCTGATTAAGGCTGTCTAAATAACGTGATCACAGTGCCACTTTTTTCCCCCTTATTATAACAGTCAATCAGATCGTATCCTTCAATATTGTCTTCCTGATTACCTATAGGACTCTATAGATCTAAAACGAACGCGATAATAATTTTAGCGCAATATATACGCGAAACTGGACTGACGCAACACTCAAGGGTAAACGGCTCGTGTAGACGATCTATTAGGACAAGTATCCGCGTCTATTCTAATGAGAACCGATGACGATTTGCTTTCAGTAGCGGCTGCGGGCTTGAGCGGTGGTCTACTCGGGAACGCTATGATGCCGCTGAACGTGGAGGGTGGCGCACAGGTGCAGGTGCCGCGGGCCCTGATGCAGGCGTTCCTCCAGCAAGATCCGAATCATCCGGGCCTGGAGACGGTCCGTCTGCCGGCCCTGCCGTGCGGCGCCGACGAGAACGGGCCGCCCCAGCATTGTCGCGAGGTGGAGACCGAACTGTGCCTCGTCTGTCGCCGTTGCGGTCGCGCGTACCCGCAGGAGTCGTCGCTGCTGGCGCACCAGCGGTCCTGCTACCTGGGCAATCAGCAGCGTCGCGGCGCCCTGCGTCTCGTGCAGGCGCGTTACGCCTGCTCGTTGTGCGAGCCCGTCGGCATGTCGACGCGCACCTACGCCACCGTGAGCGAGTGGCGTCGCCACGCCGAAACGCTGCAGCACCGGGCGCGTCTGGAGGCCGCCCAAGAGCGCCAGCAGCAGCAGCAGCAACAGCAACAACAACAATACGACAGCGGCGCGCAATCCGGCGAAGAAACGAACCCGCTGACCGACGAAATGGAGGACGTCGTCAATCAGATCACCCTATTGGCGGCTCGCGCGGCCGCCGAGAGCACGACTGGTCAGCCGCAGGCCAGTGACAGGGTCGGCAGTCAGGACAACAACAATGGACCCGACGCCAAGCGACAAAAGCTGGTGCAGGAGGTCACCGCCCTTGCCGGTGCACGTTAAGCACCATCATACCAAGCACGGGGATTGGTCTACCATCTCTCTCTTTCTCTCTCTCCCTCTCTCTTTATCGGAGACAGGGAAGTTGCGCGCAAAATGGCACCAAATAACAATAGAAGCAGGGACTGCAAAAGAAAGGCGAGACTTCGAGAACGGGCGGAAGTGGGAGAGACGAGGACCTATATGGACGTCACTTGGAGGAGGTCGGACCCTGAGGACGTCGCAGTGAACGAGCCAATGTTCCTAACCGGCGATGAACGGGCAGGCACGGGTGCCCCATCCCGATGGTGCACCCCCGTCGGGGGGCGTTTGCCCCGTGGCGGTGAGGAGAAGGGGCAGGGAAAGGGAGGCACACTAACTCAGGCGGCGGACGGTCGATTGGTTCTCTCCTATTAATTTCGTCGTTTATGCACCGCCGGTACATACAACCACCCTCCACCACGCTTCCCTGCCCCCTGGCCCCCGCCCCCGATTCGCCTATTATTTTTGTAACGCGAATCCCGCGCAGCGCGCGCGCCGTGAAGATGCGCGCTCTCCAAAGTTCCTCTCGTAGCACGAAAAAAAAAAAAGAAAAAAAGATTAATAATTAAAAAAAAAGAAAGAAAGGTGGCAAAAGGACAGAGAGACTCGACGAGGACGAGCTAGTCTAGGTGGCATCGACTGCGGAACGATCGGGCGAACGCGATCGAGAAATCCTCCTTGCTGGTCAGCCAACAAACCCGGTCGATCGGTCGGTCGATCGGACGGAACGGCCGATCAGTCAGCGGCTTGAGAATCGGATCAGGCCGGATCTTGGGGCGCACTTCTGCGGAACGATGTGCGCGGTACGTTTCCAGAGGAGAGGAGTATAATAGTACGGGAAGTTCCGGTGGGCAAGAGTGCGTCGTGCGACGCGGAACGACGCGCGTCGAGGTGGGCTAACTTAAACGTTCCTATGTAAAGTAATAATAAAGATTTAAAACAGAGTTACTAAGAAAAAAAAAAAGAAAGGGAAGCAGGAAGAGATACAAGCGGACGCTATTTAGGCGCGGCGTTTAGTAGGGTAGATGGTGCGCGGCGCGCGAAACTAAAAACGCCGCCATCGTTACGAATACGTACGTACATATTCATATATATATATATATACATACATCTATATATATATACACATATACATATATATATATATATAGATATCTGACTGTCTCTATCACTCTCTTTCTCGTTTTGACGCGCGTGTGCACGTGGCTTTCCACGGACCTGTGTGTGTGTGTGTATGTGTGTGCATGTGGACCTGCGTGCCTGCGGGTGTATATGCGTACGTGCGTGCGTGCGTGCATGCGTGTGTATGTATGTGTGTGGCGAATCGTTCAGCGGCTTCGACGGCGATCGCGGAAAAGGTAATATATAAAAAGAGGAACGCTTTTCAGGAAAGCGATAAAAGAACGAAGGAAAATTCAAGAAGCATACACACACACACACACACACACACACACACATACACGATAAACTCTTTCTCTGCCACTTTCTCTGCCATTCACATGTACATCCACATACCACACAACACACACACACACACACACACACACATGTACCACACACACAACAGGCGCGCACTGTACACACGGGCTTGGCACGTACGTTTTTTTTATATACTCTTTATTTTCTGCAATTTGATAAAAAAAAAGACGTAATAAAATGGCGGACGAAAGGGAAAAAAACGACGGTATATAAGGCGGCATAAATACCATAAACCCCCGGTGTGCCCGTCATCGACACGATTCGCGTGCACGAACGAGCAAGCAAGACCCAGAAACATGGTTCCTATATTTAATAAATTATATTTATTAACGCTAAACAAATGATTAGTAACAACGTTAATGATAATAATAATATTAATAATAATAAGAGTAATAAAATAATAATAATGAAACTAGTAATAATAATGATAGTAATAACTGATATAGGTATTAGAGAGCTGTGTCGGTAGCTGTAACGATTATCGCTAAGCAACGCTCGATGATCGAACCGATTGACACACATCGATGCTCGAGGGTGGGGGAAGGGATAATCGGGAGGGGAAGAGGGGGGAGGGGGAGGGTCCGGCATCATTGAAAGGATAGAATCTTACCTCTGTGTCCTCCGTGTCTCTCTCCCTCTTTTCCACGGTCTCGCGCGAGCAAATAAAAAATTGAGCGGCACAGAATCGAATTACGGTATTTGTAAACTGGGAAGCAAACGCAAATCGTATACGCACGTGCAACGTGGCGTACGTGAAAAATACGGCTCTTTACAAATTTTTTCGATCACGGACAGATAATCGGCCAAATGTTGTACTGAGCGAAACATTGTATCAGAATACTGGGCGAAATCGAGACGATTTCAACGGAGTAATCTGGGATTTTTAATTAAATATAGAATAAGGGAAGATGGGGAGGGGGAGAGAATTTTAAATTTTTTAGAGACAACACAGTTGAGGACGTAAATTCATCTCGCGCGCATTCAGACGAAAATATTTTAGAAATACAGACATCGTCCCCCGGATCACAGGTTGGGAAAGAGGGAGGAGAAAATTGCGCCCCCTTTCGAACAGCAACAGGGAGGGGAATGATGTAAAATCGAGAACAAGACAAAGAATTCACTACTAGCTAGTAAGTTACGGATAAATTACGGTTAAACTATAGAATTTAAGGGGGGGAAGGGGTGGGGAAAGGGAGGGGGGGGGGAAAGTACATGCGCGCGTCGACAGAAACGACACACAGATACACAAACACCCATTCTCACCGTATATATACAGAAAAAAAGTATATATATATATATATATATAAATAAATGAAAAATGAAGTGAATGAATAAGAAGAAAAAAAATATATATTTAAGTAGATAAATATATATATATATATATATATATACATATATATAAATATATATATATGATGTTGTGACGTACTAGAATCCTCGCGGATTTACTATCCGGAACGGTGACGTGTCTACACGCGTACGTACGTCGTGTTCCTCGCTCTAGAAGCTCACTCTAGAAGAAAACGAAAGTTCGCGCATGCAATGCGGCGCGTATGCGAAGCTACACAAGAATGCCGGAAGTGCCACCGGAAGTGCAAAAAAGACAAAAAGAAAAATAAGCAAAAGAAAGAGATACCGCGGCGTTTTACGTGCCGCCGTGTTGAATTTACGCGAATCATTAGGTTAAAAAAAAAAAGAAGAGTATACCGGAGAAAAAAAACAAGGGTGTCTCGCGTGGAAACGAAGGGCGACGTAGGGAAGGGAGGGGGAGGAGGGGGTGGATGCCGGACAAGGAGAAATGCACTGACGAATGGGCGCGTTCGCGTCTCTGGGGGTTAACGGGGAGGGTCTCTCTCTCTTTCGGAGAAAGCGGGGAGGGGGTCTGAGATTCGAGGACGTTAAAAAAAAAACACACACGTGTGGTCGTGAAGATCAAACGAAACGCGAAGTAATAACTATTTCTAAGGTACTAAGCAACTCTCGAGGTTCCTGTCTGCAAAAGATGCTTTTCTAATGTAACGTTGGTAACGACGATTATTAATATTATATTTGAATTATTATTATTATTATTATGATTATAGATTAACGATATTATATTTACATATATGTGGTCATGTATTGATTATTATCTATATAAACGTTACAGCGTTGAACTAGCGTACATTTAACACACGTACATACGTTCCAAATGGTGACACACGCACACACACACATACACACACACACACATTTGTGCACATATACACATACGCATATACATCTAATACGCACGTATACCCGCACTCGTACTGATGGTACCGAGAAACACCTAAAGCGAACATCACACACTGAAATATCGAAATTCTCAGCCGATCGTTTTCCCGACCGGCACGATCCACCTTTACAGGACCGTACCGGAAAAGAAAGAAAGAAAGAAAGAAAAAATAGAAACCCAGAGCGGAATCTCTCTTCATGTGAACCGATACCTCGCAAAATAAGACAATTAACGGGTGTGATCAAGTCGTAGAATTATAATTAAGGCGAACGCGTCGCGGAGTCGCGCGACCCGCGCCGAGTCGCAAATCCGTACTGTCTTCAGGATCACATTGCAAACGATAAACTCTATCACTACCACTAGCACGGGGCAAGATGTTCCAAGAAAAAAAAAAAAAGAAAAAGAAAACTAATAAAAGCGCCCCGGAACTTCACAAAGCCGCGGCGCTAAGACTGTGAGAAGAGAAGTGAAAATTTATTTCCCTTCGCCGCGTTTCCTACGTAACGTATAGTAAAAAAAAAAAAAACGTCACAGAGAGGCGAAGAAATGCACTTTTGAAAACGCACAAGACGATGCGCGCTTCGGCCGGTGTTTCCATCGCGACCTTATAGTTTTTTGTCGAATTTGCTCGCGAGAGACGGAGGAGAGCGACGCGTTGTAAAGAACGCGTAAATATTCGTTGACACACACGAATCATACACGCGACAGAAGAAAAAAATTGACGACATACATACGCGCGCATACACAAAACACACACACAAAAGCAAACTCAACACACATACACACATACACGCACGCATATCTCGCACACAAGTACACACACAAACATAAACACACGCACACACAGAAAATCGAATTTTACGTATGAACTCGGAGCTACACATCGCATACGAGCGTGACTCTCAAAACGCGACCTACGTACGTGCGCGTGTACGCAAGAAAAAAAAACCGGTGCGCGTCGCGGTTTTGGCGTTTTGAGTTTCGAGAGTACGGAGATTGCGTGATAGAGTAACCGAACCTCGCTAGCTGTTCCTAAAAATCAACAATGAGTGAGTGATAAGCGTGTGCGCGGATTATTGTAATGGAGTGGATGTGAGCTAAAAAATACGATTACGAGAACGATATGAGGAAACGAATGCTATATACATATATATATTACTGCGTTGCGGAAGAATTAAAGCGCGGCCCGACGTCGCCGGCGCCGTTTTCCCGTCGACCACACGGCCACCCTCGCGCGTCGCCACCCTGA